TAAAATTCATTCTGGGCAGCAAATTAATCCCAGTTATTGTAGTATTAATCTGCACATGCTAACTTTGTAGTTCGGGTTAAAAGACAACCAGAAATACGCAGTATATTTTCTTTCTCTCTTTCAGTGAAGCAGGAGGAAGGGAAGCCGTACTGCACATGCTCTCTGAAGCACTATTGAATCCACTGATAAGCAAAGAGGTGGTTAAAAAATTGGGAAACAAGCCCCACCAGTTTCTGACACTGAGATCCTGAGAGATGTGAAGTTTTACAAAGTGCCTCATCCCTGTGAGTGCCAGGCAGGCTTCCCCTTTCTGCTTCTCCCCAGAGAGCACAGGCAAGAGCCTGCTCAACACATCAGGAGAGGAGGAGCTGCTGCTGCATTTTATCCAGTGAGTTGGTAATTAAAACTATTGTTCTGATGTAGAAGTTTAATTAGTTTTCCTTCTTCTGAGTTACTGCTCAAAACTACGTGGCTATTAGTGCTTGCAGCAAGGAGGAGAAGGGTTGGTGTGCACAGGCAGGGTGTGAACAGAGGGACTGACACTACTGCAACCACAAAGGGGAGAAGGGATGCACGGGATTAGAGCTGGAGCTGAAAGAGGAGATTAATGGATATTTTCAGGAAAATAGTGAGAAATTCATGTGGGAGGCTAGGGTAGGCAGGATTAGAGAATTCAAACCAGATGGGATTGATTAAATAAGGAAGAAATGGAGATGCCAAGCCTGGACATAAGCTGTAGTGTACAAGTGGGTTAGTGAAACAAAGCATGGAAATTCTATAGTTAACTTCTTTACTACTTCTACGAGTCTCCTTCCTCCCTTCACCCACAGTCCCATCCCTCAAGGGATCAAATCCCTCGTGCACAGACTTATGACGTTTGACAGTTTAGGTTCCTCTTGGTTTTAGCTGATTTTTTTTTCTCCCCTGACCTCACTGAAGGAAAGCGTCTCTGAGAATTTTGTCTATGTTTAACAACACAGGTTAGCCAGGTTAGTGAACTGCTTCAATAAATTGCCCATGAAAACAGGGCACAGCATGTCATTTCAGGAATTCCCACCACTGAGACTGAAACTAACATTGGAAGAAGTTAGTGAATATTGAAACTTATCAGATAATTTTTCTGGCTGCTACACTCATAATATCTGGTACATTCGTCAGCTAATTTGCAAATAAAAAGCATACCCAGCAAGCATTAAACTGATTCCTCTGGTTGGGCTGCAGTACTGGTTCTGCATGAGTGCAGAAAAATAAATTTCATCCTCATATGTGACACCAGCTGCTGCTCTAATGCACGTAGTTTCCTGATAATGGGAGTTCTGACATTACTCACTTGTTCAGGGGACTTATTTCCTCTCTCTATTTTAAATAAGATTTGTAATACGTTCGATTTTCCTTTACTCACAGAGGTGGAAAAATATGGAGAACAGGCCTGTAAGTTGTGCTCTATGTGGTCAGTCCCACCAAACATTACCCATTGCTCCTCTTCACTTGTATCATTTCACTCATCACTGGTAATTTTTCAGAATAAATGTTTAGTATTTATTTCTGTTTATATGTTGCTTTTCTGATTATTTTATTTTTGTTGGCATTCTCTTTTCTTTAATGATTTATTCCAATGAATTGTTATCTGCAGCTTATTCCCATGGCTGTTGTGGAGTCTTTGCCTGCAATCTTGTCTCCTTAAAGGATCAAAGTTTTATTTCACTCATTCCTAAAAGCATCTTAGTTCAAAGCCACCAAATCTGTTTTCTCTGTTATACAAGATGCAGGCTGCCTTGCTGGAGCACAAGAGCAGCTGTCAGCTCTGTCTGTGACAGTGTTACAGTGAAAATTCCAGAGATACTCAGTGAGTGCCACATGCCTGCTGCCTGTAAGGAAGCTCTGACACAGCCACAGCTTTTGGATCTCTTCTCAGCTTCAAATATCTTACCTTACCTCCTTACATCTGTTATCAGCCCTAGCATGTTCATCAAATGTAAACAGTGCTTGGTTTCCACCAGGATCCTGTAAAACCAGAAAGGCCTTTCCCAGCCATTCTCTGGGCACTCTGTGCCACACCAGGTATTTCTGAGATGTGGCAAAGATCATTTTGTGTTGGTGATTCAACGCTTTTTTTATTACATGCAGAGCAAGTTCTCAGAAATAGAGGGAACTTGTCTATTCTCGGACTTGTCTTTTCACTTTTTAAAACGTAAAACCTGCTACTTCTCATCTCTGTTGAATGTACAGGCATTTTAATTTTTCCAAATTACTATTCAGTCTAATGTTGCTTCTAAGCTCCACTGCTGTTTCCAATTATGAATTGAAGCACACTTTTAATTCCTCCCTTTCTTTCCAGTATTTACACAAAAGTTGTGTTGAAAGCAGGTTCCAGTCCAAAAGACGTGTTGAAAGACTTTTATTTGGCAGCCAATGTTTCTTTCGGATACAGAAAACTGCATATGTTTATAGGTTTGGTTTCATAAGCTTGAGCAGAAAAACTGCAGTTTTACAGAAGAGGGTGGTTGTATGTCCTTAAGCAGCAGCATCCCAGATAGTCACTAACACAGGGGCCAGAAACAAGGAAGTTCCTGCCTCATGTGTAAAAAGTTCATGCCTTTTTCTTCCTGTCTCTCACCTGATAAGGCAAAGTGCAAGCTGGTATATTTTTTTAATGTGGGGGTGTTTTTCCTCCTCCATAAAGAAACCCCAACAAACCAAAACCAGCCACCACAAACAAACAAAAAACCCCCAAAATAAATCCTTATAGATCACATTTCCAGCTCCCCAACTGCAACATGCATCAAAAATGCTGCTTGAGGGGAGAGTGGCAGCTACCAGCTCTGTGCAGTTCTCTGCAGCTGCTCATCTGACCCCCAGGCTAAGTGTTCACTGCAAGAAGCTGCTGCTGGAAATGCTCAATTATCAGAAGCCTGAAGGCCACTTGCCTGCACTGCTCTGCAGTGACTGCTGGCATCCCAGCCCAGGGTTTATGGATTTGCCTTCAGCTATGGAAGCCAAAGGAAGGGAAGGCACTGAGCAGGAGCTGATGTGCAGCTGAGTTTCTGAGCTCTGGGAGTGATGGTGATGTGTGACAGTCAGCAAGTGGGCAGAGCTGTGGCCTCCACTGAGGAAGGGATGTGTAGGTGACTGAGATAAGGTGTAAACAGGCACAGAAACAGGTTAATAAAGCCTGAAGTGATTCTGTAAGGAAAATGAAAAATACCCTTGATTTCTAACAGTTTGACAGTGAAAACTTTCTTTGGTGAGGTCAGTAAAGGTAACTCCCAAATGCTGACATTCAAAGTTTGCATTTCTCAACAGCTGTTGTGACTACATCTCAAATAAAAGTTGTCTAAATATTGTATGGTGGGCATAATGAGCTGCAGGTGTATGATGATAAGTTATCTGTCCCATGGCTGACAAGATGCGCTTGTTTTTTTTTTTTTAATTCAGGGTTTCCTGACGAAGACAGGCATGACCTGAATAAACTACTTGCTGTTTTGGTCACCCCTCCTGGAGTCCTGGGATCCTTATTCCAGACAGAAAGCTTACAATTAAAGCTTCAGCAAGGAAAGGGTTACCTTGATTAACAAATAACAAGCAGCTGTCAAAAGAGCCTCAGGAGATAAAAGAGAGAACTGGTAGCTCTTGGTGTAGGGAGTCTGACCTGCTTAAGCTCTGGGAAGAGAGTCACTTTTCAGGAAGATGAAAGAGGTACCTTGCTCACATGAATAGGATTAGCCTTGGCCTTGCTACAGAAATAGGCAATTCTATCTGGGTTAATAGGCCTATTGCAGAGGTGAAGAGATGACCAGATGGCAGAGCTCTGGAATGGACTAGGACTGGCTTCCTCAGTTTCTAAACACAGAGAGGAAAAGCTTAGCAACGATTATGGAGTTGGAAAATGACTGTAGGCTTGTGAGAAGGTAAATTTGTAACAATGAGAACAAGACCATAGGCAAGAAAAGCAGCAGCTTGTCCAATTCTTGATACCTTCAAGACTGTCTTGCTGGAATATCTATTTATCTTGGGGTCAAGACTGCATTCTACCCTATTTTTGTAGAGTGTGAAATACAAGAAGTCATGTTAGATAACCTAAAAGCCTCTCTTGCCTTAAAGTCTGCATCATTCTCTCTTTCAGATAGTGACTTCCCATAAAATACTAAAGTTACTATAATCTCTTTGCTATTCATAGTGTAAAAATGCATTAAAATTATGTGCCATGATCAATAACAAAAATTAAAAAGCTAAGTAATCTTCTCTTCACCCTGAAATATCAAGGGAAAAATTGGCAAGGACTATTTCTAGACCAGGCAATTCTGATGGAAGTGCAAAAGCATTATTAAGGTTTGGTCAGTAAATGTTATTGATATGAACCACTATTCAATCAGTCTCTCTAAGGGATTGCTTTAAAGCTTTTTGTTTCTTTCAAGTAAATAGAAGCAATTTCTCCTCAAAGTAATTATCGCCCACTCAGGTGTCGTTGTCCCTCCCTCCCCCAAGTAGTTCCTCATGTGTGTTTAGGTAGTTACACATCGTTTCACCATCTTCCTTTTTAGGTTGTGCATCCTCCAAACTTTATTTCTATCCGTTTTTTACGACTCCTTTAGACATTGCACTGGGAGCAACTAAACCAAAACGAATTGCAATAATTGACAACATATGGGTTTTATCTATGATAGTTTTAAATGGTACATTTCTATAATACTTCTGTCTGCCTGCTACTATCAAAATGCAATTTACTTGTGATTGTTGAAAATTATGCTTAACCACATCTTGCATCTCCGGTAGGCTCCTGCTGCCCGTACATCCATTTCCGTCTCGCAGGAAGTTTTGCGCTAATCGGTTCTTCATGACCGCTATAAATGCGCGTTCGGTGGAGCCAGGGTAACACAACTACAGTGATTTTTAGCTTTTTCTTTCATCGTGAAGCAATCTGATTAACTAGGCAGCGGACACGCGTCGAAGTGATTTAAGCACAACATCCTAAAGGTATCATTAAGCACTAATTAACTTACCGACTCTCTCGAGATGCTACGGCATGAGAACCAGCTGTTAGAGCGAATTTAGACGACCATGGCTATTTTTTCTTTCTACTGTAAGAAAAGCCCTCTAGTTGCTGCTTTAGCCGTAGGGGCAGAGCCGCGGCGGTGACCGAGTACCTCCCGGCAGGTGCGGCGCGCCGCCCGCCCCTCCGCGGCCGCACGCCAATTCCCGGAGCCCCTCCGCGCCCAGCAGCGGCTCCGCTCCGCCGCGGGCACCGCGGAACCCAAGCGCGGCTCCTCGGGCCGGGGAGCCCGTCCGTCCCGCGGGTTGCTGTGCCGCGGAGAGCGCGGTGGGGGTGCCCGGCAGCGTGCGGTGCCCGGCGCCGATACTCACCCGGCGGCTCCGCGGCCGCCCTCGCGCGGCGCGGCCCCGAGCGGCGCGGCCGGGAGCGCGCAGGCGGCGGCGCGCGGGGAGGGGCGCGGGCCCTACCTGGGGGCGGCGGGCGGGGGGCGCCCGGCCATGGCGGCGGCGACGGCGGCGGGACCGGACCCTCCGCTCCGGCCGTGTCGGGGCAGCGACGGCGCGTCCCCGGCGCTGCGGCGCCTCCCGGCCCTGCCCTCCGCCTCACTCCTCCCCCGCCCGCCCCGCCGCCCACCCGGCCCTCCCTCGCGGCCGGGCCCTGCGCTCCCGGGGGTGCGGGCTGCGGCGGGGCCGAGCGCGGCACCTCAGGGACCGCAGGGAGCCCCGAGAGGCACCGTCCCTGTTAGGGCAGCGCCGTGCCCCGCTCTCCTCGCACCTGCGGACCGCTGCCTGGCAGCCGGAGCCCGGCCGGGACATGCGGGAGGCGCAGCCGGTCGGAGCTGTTCGCTGGAGCGGTGGCGGCTGCGGGAGTTCAGGATGGCCGCAGAAGTTGCTGGCGTTGTGCTCCGGCCGCAGTGTGGGAACGGGGATGTGACAGCGAGGTGCGCGTTGGCTCCAGAGAGATACGGGCGATCCTTGCCGAGTCCTCGTTACGAATGTCATGATGTTCCTGGAGCCCCAGCCCCGTAAACCATGTGATTTAAATGACAGGGATTGCTTTCTGGCTGTCTCAGATGTGACACACAAGCATTTAGAGAAGGAGCCTAGAGTTAACTACAACTTACCTCTTGTTTTGAGCTCATTCAGACTATTTTATTTGGTTACTTTCGGCAAACTTTCCTTGGTTTGTTTGCTTTTTCTTTTCAGGAAAATACCGAGTGCGTTGAGGCTTGGCTCTATCATGTTTGCATAACCATGTCAGAGAATCTGTGCAATACAAATGATTAGAACTGGTCTCTAGTCATGAAAGGAGAGATTAAAAGCACTTGACACAAGAGGTGGATGCACGGTGCAAACATTGTTTTGAACCCTAGGTTCAGCAGGAGTCCTTTTGCCTCAGGTGTAAAATTTGGAGGGCTGGAGACAACTGGTATTGCCCTGTAGTTCCTGGCAAGATTCCACTTCTGCTGAGATTTGTTTTCAGTAAGTTTAGTCTTAAGGTCAGAGCCCAAGATGTGCCCTGTCCAGTTAGTTGATGAGTATTATCCTTCTGTTAGTTACATAGCAAACACTCAGCAGGAATCCAGCTGTAAAACCATGGCAAGAGCTTACACAAATCTACAAATGCTGCTGAAAGCTTGACTCCTGTATGGTGAGCCCTGCTCTTTAGTCACTGCTCTGTTCAGAGATTTGTTGAGTGCATTCAAAGACAAAGAGGAAAGGCAGGGGGCAAGGGCAGTAAATCCATGTTTGGACAACCTTTTTTTTCTGCAATAAAGATTCAGTGTTTCTCTTCTTTCACTACATCATTCCTTTGTCTTTTCTACACCTTGCTATTCCCTTTAGCTGGCACATCATTATGAAATTGTGAAGTTCAGTGAGTTTTGGAAGGGCCTGGGGCATGTGGAGAGAATTATTTTGTATATTAAATCAGGTTTTGTTCTCTGTTCCAATTTACAGTGCAGAAATTTCTTAACCAACTTTGGCTAGAGGCACAGTGTCCTTTAACTACTGAAGAAACACTTTTTGTTGTTAAGAAAGGCTACCTGAAACTTGACGAGTTTGTTATTGGTGACTTCCACATAACCAAGAGGAAGAAGTTTCATCTTAATTTTTAAATATCTCAGGATTTTATGCTAAGGATATGGATTACACCTTCTGTCAGCATGTGAAGTGACATTAGAGACAGAAAGCTATGTCATGGTCGCTGAAGTTAAAGGTCAATCAAAGCAAGGAGAAGGATTGGGTTTTAAATGTAAAGTGGAGAAGCTGAGGAAATAGAGACACAGCAGCCTAGCAGGGGGGTTGGACTAGATATGGTGTCCAGAGGTCTCTTCCCTGATTTCTGTGATGCTACCTAGGTGTCTCTTAGGCTGCATTTAGGCTACTGCTTAAAGCTGGTCAAAGCTTATTTGCTTTACAGATGTGGTTTTCACATTTGTATGCCTGGGTTTGCTGAATAGCTTCTTCAGTATTGTTAAAATCTTTTGCCTCTGTTGTGAAGGGGAAGGACAGGCACACCTTCAGTTAGGAACTGAGAAAGGAAATTACCATTTTCTCTCAATGATGTTGTCGCTCCAGAAGTTCAGAACAGGTTTTCTACTCTCTAATTTCAGATTTTTTGCTCTTGTGATTTGACAAAAAGGAAAAGCTCTGAGACAGAAAAACATAGGAGAGGTTTTTCCCTCATTAGGGGTGGGACTATATGTTGTTCAGTCTCACCATTATGTTTGATTTTTGCTCCCTGATATGATAAGGATATGGGAAACCCTGGTTTTTCTACCATAAACACTGCTATTCATCAGTCCCTCACTGCAGCAGATAGCACTGACATTACCAGCATACTGGTTTTGTTTGATTTTTATCATATCATTGTACATGATGTGAAGCCCGGTGATTCTCCCTATGGAATTTGATTTCTTCTCTTTTTTTTTTTTTTCTTTCCATTAGTAAATCTTTATTTTCTGTTTCTGTCATCTTGCAAAAATTCCACAAACCTGTTGCACAGACATGTCCTCTTCTATTGCTTCTTCTCACTGTGTCAGAGCCCTTCTTTGAGCCAGCCATTACAGCTTGACTTCTCTGCAATCTACCAGAACTATCCTTTTCTCAGGTAGCCAGCACCCCTTTTCACTGAAAGCCCATAGTTTTTATTTCTGAGGGGTTTAGCCAAGTACTACTTTGTGCCTTTGTTCTTATTCCTTGACAATGTTGGCACAGAGCCTAAAAAGAACTATTCTTTTTCTGGAATCCAACTTGACAGAAGAGAACTGATTACTGTCACACATTGACTTGTTTCAAAGCTGTCACCAGGAGTGTATTTTTCTCTCAGCTTTTAGATATGAATTGGCACCAGGAAGAGAATACTGTGGCTTTTAGTTAGCTGTCTTTTATGCGTCAGCCCAGGACTCTGTTCCCATACAGGATGACAGAAGGTTATGGCCAGAGAATACGATATTCTTATGTTTTAAGGGTACAGACTATTCCAGTTGTTAAGATTTTGCTGATTTCAGCTTTTATAAAAAATGACTGCTTAAAAATAATTAGTCAGCCCTTCTGTTGGGAAAAGAAGCAGAAGAAACTGCTGCAGAGCTGTTAGTTTGAACCAACAGAAACTGAAACAATAGCAGCAAACCAAGCTGACTGTCTGCTAAGAAAATATGTCAGTCATTCCTGAAAATCAGAGGGAGCCAAACTTGCACTAGGACTTTGATGAGACTTCATCCATTCTCTGAGATATTTCATACCCCATCTGGATATGGTCTTGCACAACCTGCTGTAGCTGACTCTGCTGGCCTGTGGGGTTGGACTAAGTGCTCTCAAGAGTTCTCTTTCAAACCAGAAGATTCTGTGCTTTGTATGATTCTGTGCTTCATTAGATTTCAAGTTTTGTTCACTTGCAATGAAAAATTCTCCCCAAAAACTGCTTATGAATGACTTGGTTTGTCTTAGGAACTCTACAACTCAGTACTGACCCTGTAGCTGGATGGTATTTTCAAGTATAGATCAATGTTGTAGGGGACTGGAGGAAACGGAATTTTTCTTTCCACTTCTCTTTGCTTGTCCTTTAGTTGCCTTGTACAAAATTCTCCTAATTAAAAGTATAGAGGTGGAAAGCTTAGCATGTTGCGAAAGCAGGATCAAAAAACTGTCAGCATTTTGGCATTTTCTGGACATAGGCATAATATTTCCAGAGTAAATACATTATTGTCAAATCCCAAGTACAGGGACCATCTCTCTTACATAATAAAAAAAATTTGCTGCAGTTAGGACAAGCAGCACCTAATCCTAATAGGGGCCTTTGGACACTAGTGCTAATCAAAAGTATTTTAGGATGAACCTCTCTTATCCTCCTCACCCATATTTGCTGTGCCACTGGTGTGCACACAACTATTATTTAGTTAGTCCTTCACAACTAACCTTTATCCCTTTTCCAATGAATATTAAAGGGGTTCTACATGGTTGTCCTGTAGTTGCTGGAAGTTTTTTAAATACAAGCCATCTAGCAGGATTTATATTTGTCTACTAGATGTTTGCTTACCAAGATGGATATTACAGCTGGCTGTACTACTATGTGTTTGATTATTGTGCATAAGCAATGACCTTGTGCAGGCAGGTTATTGATGAGGTTGCATAATTCTCTTTGTGTTGTTGTTCAGTAGGTTGATTGAGTACTGACACAGTAGAGGGACACCTCTTTTACCCAAAATACCAGGTGTATTTTGCTTGTAGAGTTGCATTGGTTAAATTGTTTGCATTGAAGATTAGGTTGTTACCATTTGTATGTTAATATGTTTCAGACAAAGCTTTTTGTTCACTAGCCTGTTTGTTTGTTTTATTTGTTGCTTTGATTTGATTTAGGTTTGGAGTTTTTTTACAGTGACAAAGTTTTGTTCTGCCAATCAAAGTTCTGTTCCCTTTGAGGTGGGTACTTGGGCTGTGACTGAAGCACCCTCAGTCAACAAACCAGAACTGAAGAGGCGTCATAATATTGCAACAAGTAAGTAGCATGACTTAGTTTCATCTATATCAGAACAGATCTGCCTGACAAGATTCTTACTGACAATGGCCAGGAGCTTTAGAGAAAGTTGGTCTGGCCAAGATAGTTGTTGAATGTAGTCTAAAGAGAATGAACAGTTGTTTGTTGCTTCACTCCAGACTG